CGCTACCATGGGGAGCAGAGCTTCCAGCCGCTCTGCTCCTCGTCTCTGGAACTCACTCCCCCCAGACATCAGGAACATTGACAGTTTTACCCTTTTCAAAACAAAACTCAAAACACACATGTTTAAATCTACCTACAACCTCTGATTGTATTGAACTGTTTCTCTTTATTTTTTCTTGTTTGGGTTTTATTATTGTTTTATTGTATTTTATGAAGTATTTTCTGTCAAGTGACCTTGGGTGTCCTGAAAGGCGCTTTTAAATAAAATGTATTATTATAAACTTATTGGGTTCTCTCCTTCAAGTGTCAATGTAATGTCCCACCGAGTCCCCCACCACGAATCAGGAAGTTGGCTCATGGTCCTGAGCAGGCTGGATGCCAAATACCAGCATCAGTGTGCAGTTTCCCTTAGGTTTGGATGAGTTTTACTTCACAACCAGAGATGGCCCTGTGTTGTAAAATTACCCAAATTAAAGTATTTTTGTCACAACCAGGACTTGGAAGACCCATGATGACACCAAACACAGTAGAAGTTCAATAAAAAGTCATTATTAGATGTGGCATTACCCGAGGAGGGCGAGGCAGGAGACAGAGTCGGAGAGAAGGCGTGGGTCAAAAACCAGAACGAGGCGAAGCAGGTAAATGGAGCAGGCTAGGGAACAGGTCAGAGACAGGCGAGGGTCGATGGCAGGCAGAGTCCTAGGCAGGGGTCAGGCGTAAAAACGAGGTCCGGAGGCTGTGATCAGGCAAGGTGAAAGGCTGGAAGATCTACTGGCAAAGAGCGTTCAATAATCTGGCAGGGGATTGGTGGCTGGCTGGTGAATATATAGTAGGGGGAGCAGCTGTGTGTAATGAGCTGACAGTGCGCAGGTGAAGGTAATTAAGTGGCTGAGGGCTTGATGAGGAGGCAGAGGAGGGTGAAAGACTGGGGCCCTGTCCACACGTAGCCGGGGAGCTGCCAAAACGTAGATATTTTTCTACGTTTTGGCCTGTCATCCACACGAAAACTGAGTTTTTTCACACGAAAACGGATCTTTTTAAAAACTCCGGCCAAAGTGAAGATCTGCGTTTTCTCCGTTTTGGGTGTCTGCGTGTGGACGGACAAAACCGGAGTTTTAAGGTCCACAACGTCACTTTCCGCGACAAAAAAATGCTGACAACACGTGTGCGACCTGTGTTTACACTAGCCGACAGCATGGATGCCCTCAGAGCTGCGCTCGCTTTATCAATTGTCCAAGCGCTTTTTGCTTGTTTGTTTTTGCAAGCGGAATTACTGCTCCTTGCGGAAGACCACAGACGAAGGACGAGGTTAAGAACGGGGGAAGTACTGCCGCCTACAGGTCTGGCATGTCCTTAACAACGTATTTATCTGGGTACGTGTGGACAGAGTTTTCTTTTTAAACGAGGTGGTGTGGATGCAAGTTTTTGGAGGGGCGGATATTCGTTTAAAAGAAAAACCGGCTACGTGTGGACTAGGCCTGGGAGTCATGACAATTATCAAAAATTGTTCAATTGCATTATCCATCCATCCATTTTCAGCCGCTTATTCGGAGTCGGGTGGCGGGGGCAGCAGCCTCTGAAAAAATCTGACCAATATTGCTAAAAAGCACTTAGTGAGGCCAATAGAAATATCAAAACTCAAATGCGTGTGTGTGTGTGTGTGTGTGTGTGTGTGTGTGTGTGTGTGTGTGTGTGTGTGTGTGTTATACAGGAAACTCACACAGTGATGTTTAAGAAGTGAAACAAAGTTTATAGGATTTACAGGAACTGTACAATAATTGTGTAAACTAAATCAGGCAGGGGCATAAATTTGTGAACCACAAAAAAATAAACTCAGTATTTAGTAGATCCTCCTTTTGCAGAAACAACAGCCTCTAAACTCTTCCTACAGCTTCCAATGAGAGTCTGGATTCTGGTTGAAGGTATTTTGGACCATTCTTCTTTACAACACATCTGTGGTTCATTCAGGTCTGATGCTTCTGAGCGTGGACAGCTCTCTTAAAGTCACACCACAGATCTTCAATAGTATTCAGGTCTGGAACTTAAACGGCCATTCCAGAACATTCTACTTGTTCCTCTGCATGGATGCCTTAGTAGATGTTGAGCAGTGTTCACGGTCGTTGTCTTGCTGAAAGATCCAGGCCCGGTGCAGCTTCAGCTTAGTCACTGATTCCTGGACATTGGTCTCCAGAATCTGCTGATACTGAGTGGAATCCATGCGTCCCTCAACTTTAACAAGATTCCCAGTCCCTGCACTGGCCACACAGCCCACAGCATGATGGGACCACCACCATGTTTTACTGTAGGTAGCAGGTGTTTTTCGTGGAATGTGTTCTTTTACCTCCATGCATTCCTCACTCACCGGTAAACATCCTGGGTGCAGACTCTGAGGTGGTGGATACCTTTAAGTACCTGGGTGTTCACCTCACCAGCAACCTGAACCGGTCCAACAACACAGATGCACTGTATAAGGAGGGCCAAAGCCGCCTCCACCTCCTGAGGAGGCTGAGGTCATCCGGGGTTAATTCCCAGCTGCTAATGTCCATTTCTCACTCTGCTGTGGTCTGTTGGGGCGCAGGCAGCTCTGACTGGATCAGAAAGAGAATGGACTAGTTAACAAAGCTAACTCGGCTCTGGGATGCCCACTGGGTTCAGTTGGGAAGATGTGTTAAAGGAGCATGGTGGGGAAGATGACCTCCATCTTAAAACAAAATATCCCACCCACTGCGATCCACTGTGGAGACCATGGACAGCTCCTTCAGAGGCAGACTGAGACTTCCGAGATGTAAAACTACCATAGGTCGTTCATCCCCTCTGATGTAACAGTGTATAACTCCTCAGTTTATGCTGTACTGGCAGTATCCTGTTACATAATGACATCAATGCAATACTCAGTATGTGTTCAATATTTGTGCAATACCAGATTTACAGTGCGTCTGCGTCCCTTATGCTGCATAGTTCTAGAACCCAAGTTCTTCGGTTTTATTTGTGGTATTTATTGGTTGAAGGTTACAATAGTAGCTTATTGCCTATTTGTGTATATATGTGTACCTTTGTTATTATTTATCTTCAAATTATACTCTTAAAGAGCAAGTCACCCCCTACCAGATTATTACTCCATTCCCATTTCCTGTTTGAAAAATGCAACAAATGCTCTTGCCTAGCAGACCGAGAGGGCGGAGCCACTAACAAATACACACACACAGGCTCACAATGACATTGTGACATCATATGGTACCAGCTAATGTTCTAGGGGACCTCTTAGCCAATAGTGATGGCAGATTTTAATTCAAATGCAGTGCAGAGTTTTTACCTGACAACGGCACAACACTGACAGTTTCAGGCAGAAAATTAAACTTTTAACTAAAATTCACTAAAGTGCAAAACTACTGACTACACGTGTCTGCAACACGATTAGACACACATTTATATAGTTTACCAGAAAAAAAGTTGATTTGGGATGACTTGATCTTTAAGTGTTGGTGCTGCTGTAGCACGCAAATTTCCCCACTGTGGGATCAATAAAGTCTATACTATTCTATTCAGATTCAGCTCCAAAGTCTTCTCCACAAAGATTCAAACTCCAAAGAGGTGATTGGAGAGGGTTGCATCTGTAACAAAGGTGAGATCTTAATGAAACAAATTTTAAGAATTTCTCACATAGACACAAATACAGAATGCGCTTTCAGCTGTTCTTGTTCAGGACTCAATGATCCTATTGTTGATGCCACCTATAGGCTATTATCTAAACCTACAATTCCTGGAAATATATTAAACTTCCTCTGGGAAAAATGGGAATGGGAATTCTGCTCTTATAACCTTAAAGTTTTATAGACAATATCCGAGGGTCCGTGCTGGGACGTGCTGATGTACGACGTTGCTGTGAATGAGGCGTGGCATAGGTTTGTGTCTGGCACAAACACATTTACACAGACACCCTGTGGACTGGCGCTGCCTATTGGAGCTGCCAAAGTGGCCGGCCGCCATTTTTAATGGGTCTCCATTCCAATGGCGCCCCCAAGGGTTGGCCAGGGGTGGTCATAGCCACCCCTAGAAAATTGCTGGTTCCACCAGCAATGTCAGTGTTAATAAATCACATTATTGTTTACTCAAACCCTAAATTGATCTTATTTATTCAAGAAATAATTGTAAAACTAAATAAAAATAATACAATTAATGAGTAAAGAAATAATCAGGATAAAAAAACAATACTTATGTTTTTGCTGCTTGCCATTTTTTAAAAGTTTTTAATTTCATAGTTTGTTGTGAACACAGCAACAGGTAAATTAAACAAAAAACATTTTAAAATAAAAATTGAAATATTATTTTAAATAACTGAAAAGTAGTTTTCTGAAATGTTTGTGTTTGAAAATTTTAATCCAAATGTTTGGGATAAGTATTTAAAAAAATAAACAAATAAAGGAGCAATGAAATACATCGCCACAGGCTGAACTCTCCCAGAGTTACCACAAGGACCAATTTCTTTGGCCTCGTCTGGCCACCCCATCAAAACTTTCTGGAGGCGCCCCTGCTCCAGTGTATTCATTTCTGCTGTTGAATGTGCTGCTTACACAACTAAAACACACACTTTATTTTGCTTTTTCACAAAATCAGACACATGGTATGACATACTTAATTTATACATATAATTAGACAAAATAAATTATAATATGTATTAGGTAGCCTAGAAAAGTCAATAGTAATCCCACATGATCTGTTTTCAATAGTACGCAGGTTACTGCAACTGCAGGATGCACAGAAACGGCCATTGTTGCCAACTCTGAATTCACTTTGGAGACTGAGGAGACCCATCCAAAATGGCGGCAACGCTGTTCCCATACGCTTTCCAGCGCCCTATGGGGCGTCACGTATTCATGTCTATGGTGTCCGGGACGTGATTGGCTGATCAGCTGACCGACCGGACAGGTGATTGGGTGACTGACTGAACGTGGCTGCGCAGAAGTCAGACACGTAGAGACGCAGACGGGGTCAAGTTAAATAGGGTGAGAGCGGAAGTGAACTTTTTCTGACCTTTACAGTAAAACAAGTTCTTCTCAAACTGATAATGAGTTGAAATTTAACACACTGAGTCATGTAGAAAACTTGTAACCGGCTCTGCTTACGGACAGCTCCACTTGGCTAGCAGTAAGACCTCGAAACTCCAAGCAGAGGCGACTGCTGGACGTTTATTTTGATAGTAATAACCGGAAATCGTACTGTTGCGTACATGAGCGGGTTAAGATCCGTTAAGGGGAATCGGTAACACGAGCAAAGACGGGCACGAGTAGGGGTAACGACCTGATGACAGCTGAGTTATAGTCCTCCTAACCGCCGTTGGAAGAAACCTGCTGCGCTTCAGGTAAGAGTAACCGGCTCTACCCCGATGGAAACCCAGTGAAACGGAACCATTAAGTTTCAGGACAACGAGCACAAGTTCAGAGAGTTTAGTTTGCCGACAAGCAGGTGAAGGCAGGAACCCATCTGTTCTCTCACCTTTAAGGTAAAACACAAGTAGTTTAATTTGAAACAACGTGTCTTTCACCAGTGCCTGTCATGGTGTCCTCTTGGACAAGAGTCTCCAACACTGGTCCTCGTTTTTCACCATGCAATTTTAGCTGTTTTCTGCTCCAACACACCTGATTCAGCCTGTCAACCACCCACGGGGTCAAATCAGGTGTGTTGGAGCAGAGAAATGTCTGAATATCACACACACACACACACACACACACACACACACACACACACACACACACACTAAGCTATTATACAGGCTCATTTAAAATCTCTCCAACCCAGCCAAGCAGGTGTGTTAAAGGTACAATATGTAAAAACTGTACAGTGAAATACCCACAAAACAGTCTGAATCATGTTTTTAGGAAGGTTATACTGAATCAGATTTCCTTCTCAGCCGGCTGGGGGATTTTCAGTTTTTCTCCCTTTGGAAAGGCCGAAGAGAGACGTAGTCACAGTTTACAATCAGCAGTGTTGTGCCCGAACGTGTTCATTGAACGATCGTTTGTAAATTTGTTCGTTTTTTTACGTGAACTGTCTGCTCATACAGTCAGGAATCCTGGCAGAGAGACGCTGGAATTGGGGATGTGGTCCTGCAGCCACGTCTCAGTGAAACACATAACACTGCACTGCCGAAACTCTGGCTGAGTCCTTGAAAGGGCTTGGAGTTCCTCCATCTTGTTGGCCAGTGATCTCACATTGCCCATTATGATCGATGGAAGAGATGGTTTGAATTTCCTCTTTCTCACGATTTTTCCAATATTTTATCACGATTTCGATTTGATCACGATTTCTTATCCATGAATAGCATAACTTCAATTGCATATTAAAGAAGATAAACATTGAATAAATAAACATTTATTCATATTAGGGATAATCAACACAGTGCTAACACACTTATATTTTAAACTCACACCAGAGATGATAAAAGCCCTGAGAGAAACAATTACAAAAATCAGTTTTTCTCGTTTTTCAAGTAACTTAACATAAATTAAAATCGTAAACATATTTAAAGTGCAAACATGTCAATTGCAAACGTATTGTGCAAACATTAACTTGTTCAAAATACTATGTAGCTCCCAGTTGCTCATGTAGTGGATAGTTAAGCGCTAATACGGCTCTAATGTAGCTTGTGGTAGCAAAAAACTGCGCATTCTGAATGTTTTCTGCAACACTCACTTTGCATTCAGCGTACATGCGTGGAATGGCTGTGTTCGAAAAATACTTGCGGCCGGAAAACTCGTAGCGCGGATCCAATGTTTTTATCATTTTCTTAAATCCCACTCCTACTGTTCGCACGGGACACAAATCTTTAACCAAGTGGTACGTCACTGCATCGGTCACGCTGTTCCATCGTCTGCTGTCTCTGTCGTAGGGAGTGAGTTTTGTGTTTCTGTTAGCGTTTGCTGCCTGGAAGAAGCACTAGCCGCTGCAGCCGCAGGCTTTTTAGCTTTAGCTGCCAGCTGGCTCTCATTGCATTGTTTGGGATGCCTTCTTTTCAAGTGATTAAACAAGTTTGTGGTGTTGCCATCACTTGCCTTGACGCTCTCCTTGCAAACTTTGCAAATGACGTTTCGCTGCTCTTTGTCATCTGGTGAAAAACCAAACCAGTTCCATATAACGGACGAGGCGTTCCTCTTCGGAACGAAAACCTCGTTGTCGCTCTCAGCCGCGGCCGAAGCCATGTTTGTTCACACACAGGTGAAAACAAGCGGGGCTCTAATATATTAATATGACTCACTCTGATTGGCTAAGGGTCAAACAAAGGCGTGTCATTCGCCGGAGGTAAGTTCCCTTTTCATTCAGAGGCAGAATTTCAACAGCAGAGCTGTGAATCGTGATAAAAAGGTCTCTCAAAAATGACAGACCGTCAGATGTGTAGATCGTAAAACGGTCTAATATCGTCATATCGCCCAGCCCTACCTGGGTCCACCATGGTGGACGGCAAAAGCATGTAAACAGTGAGCGACACGATTACTAAACAAAGGGAAAAGTAGAGCCTGAAATTGTTTTTGCGATCAAAACAAAAACAAAACTCCTCCAGCAATCCTTCAACCAGTTCATGCCCAGTTCAGTTATCATAAGAAGTAGTGCATCTAGCGGGGGCTCATAGAGAGCGGTATGCTAACTAGCTTACCAACGTTAGCTTACGTTCTCTCTGGAACTGTTCACCGATGTAAACATGTTGCTAACTTTGCCCAAATTCACCCCGCTGGATTTATAACTTTATGTTATAAACAGCGTTTCACTTTAAACCAAAGCTGATTGTTAAAAAGTCCGGATCCCTACCAGCGTCTGTTGCTGGTGGTGTTACCGGGTCCAGCTGCTGCTCTCACACCGGAATGAGATCTCTGAACGCCGACGCTCATATAAATAAATAAATAAATAAATAACATAATTTTAACACACGTAATCATTCATCGGAGCTTTAATATCGCTAATAATTGTCTCGCTCTACACTACAGTGGACGGAGCGCAGCCTCCGTGGTGAAATACCCGTCCATCAGGATGATCAATAACTAGTATAAACGCATCACATTTATCCCTGTCCCCGTCTTCCTCGTGAAATAAATTAACGTTAATCTTACCTGTTTATAACATGTTCGCTGCAAATCTGAGGCCTGCTAGTCCGCTTGATTGATTGATCGCTGCAGTTCATCTCCGTCCTCAGTCGCCATCAAAGTTATTAAAAAGAAGAAACGAGTTGAGTTTACATCCTTGCCTCTTAGTGCAGCCGACCACGCAGCAAGCTAACACCATTTTACTGTCAAATCAACTAAATAAAAGCCATTAAAGGCTACAAACTGGCTTGTTTTGCTTACCTTCATTGGAGTTTCTACGGGTGTAAACGGTCTTTTTGCCGTCCATCATGGCGAAGGGGGCGGTCACATGAGTGGTGTAGCGGAATATAGTCAGTTGTTTATAATTCTTAGCCAATCGGAGTGGACAGATTAAATAAACACTACAGACTCTGCCCCGCAACAGAACGGAGGTTCTGATTGGAATGAGCGGACAATGTGTCCTGTGCTTACCTTATGTGAATCAGAATGTCTGGCATAGTTAATCCTGTTATTCAATAAACACATAAATCATTACATTGATTTCACAGATCAGTCACCTGATTATTATTGACCAACATTTGTTTTGATTAGCTTTATTACAAATAAAGTTCTTTGATTAATTAATGAAAAGCGTTCTTCGACCTTCTTCTGTCTTCTTTCCTGGAATGTAAACACCAAAGCAAGCGCACGACCGTGGCAATTCATGCACACTGTCACTGTGTTAAAGGGCAGCTGTTAAGGGCAGAAAATAGCATTTTCATAACGCTACAGTGGCGTGACGTCACGTGCAAAGGGTCAATAGAAATATCTCAAGCTACTGTTTTCAGTTATCAACATCTTGATATTACATTAAAAAAGTATTTATATACTGTAATATAAGTTTCAGTGGGAGCACGGGCAGAATATCTTACCCTCCTGTCAGAACCTAAAAAAGGCACCAGTAGGCAGCAATTTATCAAAAATATCCTTTATTAACACAACCAACAATAAAACACTACGGCCAAGTTCCTTCACGATAAAACCAGCTGTTCAGCATAAGTAAAATCAAGCAAGCGGGTACTTAGGTGGCCCAGTTTATGCGACCCCCCTCCCCGGGGTCTGAGCTTCTGACACCGTCTAACGCCCCAGGGTTCAGCTTGCGAGGACAGCGGGTGAGTCCAAGGCTCAGGTCCGGCTGCCGGAGTTGCGGCGGCAGATGTCGGCATGGTCTCGGCACCCAAAAACTCCCAGCCCTCACTACCTAAAGAAGGCGTCACGCCTCCCCTCCTAGCGCTGGAACACTGCCCACCTACTCAGCTGTCTTCATCGCCGGCAATCCTAACCAACTGCGAACGATCCCACCCCCCAGAACCGGGTGCCACAATGACAGGTCGACCACACACACACACCTTGGTAGATCTGCCACCCTTTTCTCCACTCTGGCCTCATTACGCCTGACAAGCACCAGCCGGCGTCCAGTCACCACGCCCCCAGAATCTGGCAACCCCGTCTTCTGTCTTCCACAATACTTATCAATTTACTGTGCATGACTTGTTTTTACTTGTCAATTAGAATGTTCTGGTGCTGATCCGTAACTGTTGCTCAGGGCGGACTCGATTGTTTTGATACACGGACTGCAGTGCCCACATTTGACCACAGGATGTCATTCTTACTTCATGAACCTTTGAAACTTCCATCCAACCAAATCAGCAGTGGAGCAGGTCTGTTAAGACAAGGAAAACCTTTAAAAGTTAAAGGTGTCTCTGGAGTGTACAGAGGTTATACAAGCTCGGGCTGGGCGATATGGCAAAAATAGAATCTCACGATTTTTCCAATATTTTATCACGATTTCGATTTTATCACGATTTTTTATCCATGAATAGCATAACTTCAATTGCGTATTAAAGAAGAGAAACATTGAATAAATAAACACTTATTCATATTAGGGATAATCAACACAGTGCTAACACACTTATATTTTAAACTCACACCAGAGATGATAAAAGTCCTAAGAGAAACAATTACAAAAATCAGTTTTTCTCGTTTTTCTCTATATGAGGGGGGCCTGAGGACCCAAGGGTCCTACGTCCTCTAGTGGGCCCTGTACTCACTGACCAGTACCATAGATCCCTCCCCAAAGAAATGCCACTTCGCACCATTACTGACCCACTGTTAAACTGGTCATGCTGGAGGTTGTTGCAGGTAGCAGAATGTTCCCAACGGTGTCTTCAGACTCTGCCACATTTGTCACATGGGCTCAGTATGAACCTGCTTTCATCTGTGAAGAGCACAGTGTGCCAGTGGAACA